CTAGATAATTGTGTGTAAAGATATGTCGTGACATTGGCTTGACAAATAAGTTCATAACACACCTTGGTTGAGGCTTTTTTTTTGTATTGGGGGGTGTGGGGGGGGGGGGGGAATCTTCAAAAGATACCCTGTCATATCATGACATGGGGGTAAACTCCCTCGGTGGCCTCCGTGGTGACATCCGGGATCTCCTACGGAACGCACCGGTGTCCCTCAGTACTGCGCGTGAGCACGCCTCGGGAGGGAATCGGGGAAGGTTTACCCTTCCCGTCTGCCGCTGCCGTCTTGCAGCAGCACTAGACCACTTCGTGCTGCTGCCAATCCGTGTCCTCTTTTAGTCGCTTTTACGACAGGCAGGGGATACCTTAGCTCTATTCTACGAGCCCGAGAGTACAGGGCTGAGCTTGGTTGAGCCTAGCAGCTTCTTTTTATATGTAAAAAGTTGTGTAAAAGTGCAAGCGAGCTGGTGGTTCACATGATGTTAAGTGATTACCTCTGTCGATAGATATCTACAATACCCAAGACTTTGCAACCCTTTTAAAAGTAACAGCCTATACGTGTCCCACTGCTGGGCAAAGGTCTCCTCTTTACAGAGGGCATCAGGGCATAGTCCACCACGCGGCCCCACTGCGGATTGGCGGACTTCACATATCTTCGAATTTTTTTTTTTGTTATTAATTATGCGAAAATATGCAGGTTTCCTGACGATGATTTCCTTCACCGCGGAGCACGTGATAAGTCAGCACTTAAAGTTAAAAACTTCATTGGTGCCGGCACCGGGGATCGAACTCAGGTTGCTTGAGTATATTGAATTAAAGGCGAGCGCCCGGACACTGAGCTATCACGGCTCTTTACTTTTAAACCTTTCTTATAATCCTTTAAAAAAGTATAGTAATTCTGCTTTACACCGGTCTTTTGTGAGGCCGCGGTACTAATCCGGACCAGCCTGCCAATGACAGAGATGCACCACGCGAAAAAACATCAAACACCCTTGCCATTGATGACAGTCCATGACAGCGCATTTTTCTAGAACTTCCTGCCATGAAGAAACACCTTAGAATATGGAATAAAACGCAGTTTCTTAGTCATAAATAACATTTTAATATTAATGTGTTAAATAAAGTCGCTCGTAAAACTAATGATAGGGTAGTAAATTATCTCTTAACATATTGTACGCGCAAATCTAAAATTGTAGCACCTTCTTTGTAATTCATAAAGTTGGAAGATGGAACTTATATAATACGAAAGGTATTGTATCACAAAAAAATAATCTTGTCTGTATGTTTCGTGTATACAAAGTAAACATATAAACATGATTCTTTTCAATTAGTCGAATATCGACCACAGGAGAAACTATTATTTAATAATATACAAATATATACATATGTGTATACCTAATTATGCCTCAATAATTTCACTAACAAATAATAAAGCTATAAATGTTTAAACATATATAAATAAAGATACATAAAAACAATTCTACAACTATACAAAACTCTTATATACAATATCAATCCGTTTAACAAATAGGTTTTGTTCGATGAAACATCATTACATTATTACCGCAAAACATAATTTTACAACTATAAAATACTGTTCAACAATAGTGATCTCGCTATATTCAAATAGGTTTTACGAAACGGCAACTATAAGGGGAATCGATGAAGTATCCCACAATACAGGGCAAGGTATCAAAGAACGGGTGTTGCCTGTCCATGGGCGGTTGTTATCACTTAATATCAGGTAAACCGCCAGCTCTCTTGCCACCGTCACACATTAAAGAAACCGGTCAAGTGCGAGTCGAACTCGTACCCCGAGGGTTCCGTACCTATCCATAATGCCGCCATAATAAAATTGGTAAATAATCACCACTGATTTTCTCAGGAACGGGTGGAAGCAAGTTGAAATTTATACCAGGTCCTGAAGTCTATAGTCCCTATTAAGTATATATTAAAGTAGGAATTAAGTCAAATGAAGGGTTTCTTAGTCAACACGATAAAAGATACAAGTTTTCGCGAAAATCAAAATTTTCCCATATGTTTTTATCGTGTTGACTCAGGACCTTGATTTTTATACACCTAAAAGGGACTATATATACATACATTTCAACTTGCTAGGTCCACCCGTTCCTGAGAGAATCGGTGGTGACACACGGACAGACAGACGGAGAAGAGAGTGATCTTATAAGGATTCCTTTTTTAACCTTATAAGTACGGAACTCTAAAAATGATGATGAACATCTAGTGTTTTCTACTCAAGCCGATAGGTAGATTCGATACGTATTCACCACAAACAGTTACCGTTTTGTAAAAGCCACACCGAGAACCAAAGCGGCACTAAGCTAAATGCGCGGACGGCACCAAACAAGCACAGGGCGATACTAACGCGCTGATTAAGGGCTCCGTAAATTTTATATATAATAACGAAACATTATCTGACATCTGAGGATGAATTACACATAATAATAGCTCAGCGAAAAAACATCTGTTTTAAGTTATTTACATTCTTTTTTGTCTTTTAAAGATAAAAGTAAAAAAATTCTAACTTCATCTGAAGACTTCTTCGATAGACTGATAGGCATAAAAACAGGAGTACTTCAATTTACTAACTTCTATACTAATGGAACCCTAATCTAAACGAATTATTGAATCGCGCTGCAGATCACCTTCCTTAAACTACACCACAAAAATCCAAACTGTAGGGATCTCGGCTGTCATACACATCTTGTGACTTAAAAGCATTGGAAAGAACACATAAAGGATTCATTGTCTTCTTTCTTTTTTTTCTTTCCAACACAACACCATCAAATGAAGTTTCCGCATTAGTTCGTTAACAACTTAAATAACATGTAGTACAGTCGTTTTGGGTAACTTTGAATTGCGGTTTAACTTTGAACAATGTTGTGAAAAACATTTATTAATTTATTACACGAAAACTATTTTTTATTTCAATAGCGTAAAAGGATCGACATAATGTTTTGAAATAACGAAAAGTAAAAAAAAATGAGATAATTTTTTTACTTTTTGTTATTTTTTGTGTTTTTATGTTCATGTTTAAATGTGATATTGCATTGAAAACTTTCAAAAACTTTGAAAACTTTCAATGCAATATCACATTTAAACGTTAATTTAGATTTAATTTTTAGAGATAAGGTTTTATTTAATGAAAATACGTCATATAACTTTACCCAAACCTTAAAATATTCGAATAATGATGGTTTTTACTTCCTAAAAAAAATTACATTCAAAGTGACCCTAAACTCACGATAACTTTGAATTTGAGTTTGGGGGGAAATTATGGATAGTTCTGTCCTTTTTTCGTAAATTTATTGTGTCGGCAAAATAAACCAACTCAAAAGGACACTATTCATTCAATAAAATAAAGGTGTGATAGATATAAATCAGATTGTAATAGCACAGGTTCTGTAAGAAATGTTCAAAGTTACCAAAACTGACGTTAGTAGAAGTAATGAAAGAGTTATCACCATAGTCAATGTTTTGTACTTGGGTGCTGTTGTAGGGCGCGCGAAACGTAAAGTCGCCTCTGAAATTCCCGCCAATGCGCATTGCTCGGTAAAGATATAGAGGGGCTAAGTGAGGGTATTGTCCTCTCTTTCGCGCCGCAGTCCCAATCGTTGTTCGTCTCGCTCGCACTGCACGTGTACGTACAGTCGCGAACGAAGTTCTTATTTGATTATACTTTTCCAACTTCACTTTGCTGCATTTAAGTTTTGCGCGGCCTACACATTAAATATACATTTATATAAATTGACATAGTATAATTATTACACACTTATAAGGCACTATACTGCGGAGTATATTTTCCTAACTGGACGTAGTTGAGACTTTTTCTCATAAAAATCATCTGAATTTCAGCTTCAGCATCAATAAAAAAATATAATAACTCGGAATAAAAGATTATTTTTTAAAAAAACGTATGTATGTAGATACTAACATTTATAAGTTAAATTTACTGAAAACGTTCAAAGATTCTTAATAAAATATGTTGGTTCGACTTGGTTGTATTTTGCATAACTACGTCCAATTATTTCTTTTTCACATTTTATTATAAGCTATTGTTACATACATAATTCATTTATAAAAATACTTATATATGGGTATTCCGAGAAACCATTTTTTGCAATCTAATCAACTTTACCATTTGAGTTGATGTATCACTTAAGATGTCATAAAAAAGGTATAAAAGTTTAACCATTTTGGTTTGTAAGTCACAATTTCTTTTAATACATCATGCTGTCGGTGAAAATGCGAACATACCTAAATTAAGGATATTATATTACTTTAGAAATAATTTTTATGTTTCTTAGTCGGGAGACGATTAATTTAATAGCCACGGTTTGTAAACTTGCTAACTGTAAACTGACGATATTACTAATATGTTGAAAGTAATAGGGGGAAGATTTCTATCTTTTTACAATCCCTGCTTAACAAGTCTTCCATTATTAACAAATATATATCAAGCCTTAAGGATCAATCCGTTTTCCCATAAGTTAAAATAAACTGTACTCCTTCCATTTTTCCACCGGTAAAACAGCGAAAATGTAAAGTATGTCTTTGAATTTGTTCAATTTCAAACACATACTTTCTATATTTATGAGGAAAAGTAGCATACAGCGTTAAAAAGTGTAATTAAAAAAAAGGAAAACGGAAAAGAAATTGCCTCCACGACTGTCCATTACTGGCCGATATAATACTTAAATATGTTAATATGTATTCATTGTGCAGTTCACTTTACAGCTATCGGAGGGATTATCTGGGTATAGGGGGAGTGAGTTGCTATCTCGTTTGCGTCGCAGTCCAGATCACTTTCCATCTCGCTCCCACAACGGTACAGTTGTGGACGCACAAATAATGAGTGGTATAATCAAATGATTTCTGCAATCGATGGTGCATGTGCATGTGAGCTCCCTGAGTCGACATTTTTTTATGCTCCAAGTTTTGCGCGATATGTGCAAACCTCTGCACCGGGCGCTCGGTTCAGTGCCAGGTGAAGACGCAGTGGCAGATGATGAGGTAGACGGAGGCCACCACCAGGTGGCCGATCATGACCGGGAAGCCGACCCTGAAGAAGCGCATGAACGAGAAGCGGTAGCCGTGCTGCTCCGCCACTCCGGCGCATACCACGTTAGCGCTGGCGCCGATGAGGGTGCCATTTCCTACCACACCAAAATGCACCTTAATTTTCACTTATTATATACCGTGCGTTACTTGCACGTAAGTGAATGCGAAACACGTTTATTCAAGTCCTAACACAATAGATGCAAAACTTAAAAAATAATGGAATTACACAGAAACATAAAATAATATTGAAAAATTAAAATTAATGGAAACATAACAAAAAAAGTCTGGGCAGCAGCATGATTACCTTTATATGGACGGAACTCAGGAAAAATGGAGATACTGAACCCAAAAACTTTAAGCCAAGACTTACCGCCCAAGCATGCGCCGAACGAGAGAGCCCAAATCAGTGGTGCCATCGGCAGACCCAACTGCGGATTGGAGCCCAATGTAGTCACCACTCTCACCATCATCGTGGTGAGCGGTATGTTGTCCACGAAGGCCGACGTCACACCTGACACCTATGGAGAATGTAATCGTAATCTATTAACATATTCAGAAAGATCGTTATGGTCCTTGAAACATCAAACATCAAATGTGATAGTGGGAAGGCTGGTAGTGAAGAAACAAAAATCCTATAAGGTCATCGATCATACAAGGTAACATAAGTTGGAGAGATACGTCGCATTTGCTCCGACCCATTTGTAATCTAGAGAGAAGAATAGAAAGTAAAGAGAAGAAACATTACCAATTTTAAAAACTTAATATAATCTTATAATCCGGAACGGAAAGATTAAAATCACGTGTATGAAAAAATAGATGTATTTTAGGCGAAAGAGTTATCATGTCTCTACAACAGTGGAACTGAGTATATACTTGCTGCATATTTCTACTGCCCACATCCCACTTAGGTGGGGAGAGCACAGCACGGAAATCACATTGTTATTGCCTAGTATTTTACCGGAACCCGGAACAATAATCTGCTGGTCATATAAATACTTGTCTCGTGTGAGAATCGAACCCACGACACATAATCCAATAGCTTTTCAACTGCGCCATCGAGTCATCAGAGTATATTATCGTGTGTGGAATATAGAAGTGATTACCCAAAGCATCAGCAGAAGTGCAACAGCCAGCCGAGCGCTTTCGTCTACACTCAGTATGAGCGCCTCCGTGAGGCCTCCGATGAATTCGATCAGGCCGAGCTTCGACAAAGCCTGCAATGGAAAAAACCGTCACAACATCTCAACCCTTTAACAGAATAGTTTATTCAATAGAGAAACCTAAAGAAGAATGAATAGGACCTATGTTAACTGTTTTTGCAATACCTCGTTCACCGTTAAGTGACACTGGTTTAGATATTTCAGTTTTCTTTTCAATTAATGTCAATTTCTCAATATCAATTTATGAGTAAATGATTGGAAAAGTAAAAAAAATACCATCTACCTTAGCTTTGAATATTACATGTTTTACGATAAATAATCAGATTCTCTGTCAATAGAAAAAGAAATAGTTAAAGAACTAAAGATTTCTTTGGAAAAGAAACACAGTTCATGACACAAATATCGACACGAAGTAACAAGACTCGAAAAGACATGATAGAAATCGATACCCACCTCCATCAGCACAAATAGGGATGCGAAGAACAAGAGCGTGGACCATTCTACTCGGTGCAGTATTGGCTCCAGGTCTTCCCTATCCGCTAACGTCAGCAGCAGTATGGCACCAAGCAAAGCTGTCCAGCCCAGAGACACGCGGTCTGCAAGATTGCACGAATGAAAATTATAAAAGCTGCATATTGTAGGAAGCAAACTGGAATAAACAGATTCCGTCAAATATAACTGATTTTACGGTTTTTTTTTGCCTCTACGGGTTCATAGTCATATAGACGTAAGTAACGGGAATTAATATCTAAATTGAACGAAAAAAATTCATAATATTAGTTATTTTATTAAAAACAATATATACTGTTCGCGTAAACCCAACGAATCATTACAAATAGATTCATTGGAAATTAAAATAGTACAATTAATTCATGTTCTTAATTGTATGAATATATGAAAGAAAAAATTGATGTTGATCAACGTAAGTGATGTAAAAAGAGAGACAGAGAACGTGCGCCTTGTTATGGTTTCTTTTTTTTATGGTGGTAGGGCCAGGCAGCAGCCTCGGCTGTTGCACGAACGGGCAGGCCCATCCGGGTAAGTACCACGACCTCACAGAAGACCAGCGTAAAATGGAAGTATACCTAATACTTTCGCGTTTCGTCTGGTGAGTGAGGTTGCTGGAGCCCAATTCTCAAAAGGTTGTCAACGCATCTGCAACCCTCGGCTGTGGCAGATGTCCATGGGCGGCGGTATTCACTTAACATCAGGTGAGTCGTCTGCTCGTTTGGCAACTTTTCACATTAAAAAAAATGTTTATTCTACTTATTGTATGTTATTTTAACTACTTCTTGTTTTATCTTGTGCACGGATCGCTGATTGAGAAATTGTAGTTATTATTGTTATTAAGTATACGTTCTAATTCAGTATCCCTACTATAATATATAATATTATATATATATATACTACTATAATGAAATACTATTAAATTTTAAAAGTCGATGTAACTGCAGCCAAAGAAACAAAAGGAAAAATTTACAATAGCTTGCATATAGAAAATATTAAATATAAAATATTTTGAATACACAATTCCTCTAAATCTCGGCACGTTAATCAACTGCTTTTATTGCAACTATGCACTTGGCACAGAATTGTGTACAATTACATTGTGTACAGATAATGTCCAGTAAGACATGCGTAGCCTGAATTTGATGGTACTGGTTTCGTAAAGTACACGAGAGTTTTTTTATTGATGCAGCATTTTACAAATTGTTTCAACCGCATGCAGACACTGACTTTATGTTATTATTTCAAAAATAATAACTTCCACCCTCAGCATGTATTGTAGTCTGCTGCCCCATTGTGGTTTGGCGGACTTCACATATCTTCCATTTCTTTTTAATTGTATTAAATAATTGTTAAGGTATGCAGATTATCTCTTTAATATCGAGCACATGACATGTAATGTTGAGTACAATTTATTTCATCGGTGGATTTACAGGGCCCTCAACTCGGTATAAAATTCCAATAGAGATAAGTAGAACAGTTAATTGTGGTCCGTGGGATTTCAAATAATTGGGTCATTCGTTTTGTAATGTGCTTACTGAGCTCGGGAATGGAGTGCAGGAAGAAGACCAGTACGACAAAGCTTATAGCAACTGATGCTTTGACGAGGAGCGCCTTGTCGCGTATCTTGTACTGAAAGGGAATGCAATATTTCAATTTCAATATACAATATTAATATTATACAATATCAATCAATCAATCAAAAATCTTTATTCAAATAGACGCTTGCGCGTTCTTATGAATCGTCAAATTTTACATAAAAAATTATATCGTAAGGTACCACCGGTTCGGAAAGCAGTTTTTGTTGAGAAGAGACCGGCAAGAAACTCAACAGTTGCTCTTTTTTAAAAAATCAGTTTACAATATAATAGTACAGGTACAATAGTCTTGTTTTAGGCTACGTGAGTATCAACAGTATTAACCCCACACATTGGCGTCGTCAAGATATTCGGCAATAGTATAATAGGCTTTAGCCATAAGTGTACTTTTAATTTTTCGTTTAAATTCATCAAGTGGCAGACTTAACATCGACTGTGGGATTTTATTATACATGCGCACACTTTGCCCCATTAACGATCTGTTTACTTTTTGTAGGCGAAATAATGGCGTAGTTAGTTTGTCCTTATTTCTAGTATTTAGTTTATGTCTGTCACTATTCTTTTGATAATTATTAATATTCTGTTTAACATACAAAATATTACAATAAATATATTGAGACGCAACAGTGAGTATATTAATCTCTTTAAAAAGATCTCTGAGTGTATTCCGGGCTCCGATGTTATAAATTGCTCGGACAGCTCTTTTTTGAATAATAAATATTGAATTTATATCAGATGCACTACCCCACAAAAAAATGCCGTACGACAAGATGCTGTCAAAATAACTGTAGTAAACAAGTCTGGCAGTGTCGATGTCTGATAGCTGCCTAACCTTCCTAATTGCAAAAACAGCGGAGCTTAACCTATTCGCAAGAGATGATAGATGGGGACTCCATTGGAGCTTTGAATCTACTGTGATTCCCAAGAATACAGCGGACTCAACAGGATTAAGGGTTACGCTATTCAATTTTAAGCTAAAACTTTGCCTTCTTACGTTGGGAAGGGCAAAAAGGAGGCATTTAGTTTTTTTAGCATTTAACACCATATTATTAATGGTAAACCAGTGGAGGATACGCGAAAGTGCACTATTCACGTCGTCATAATTCGATACATTTCGGTCAACCTTAAAAATGAGCGATGTGTCGTCGGCAAACAGTACAACATCACATAACTCACTGGCATAAAAGGGGAGATCATTTATATATACTAAGAATAATAATGGGCCCAAGATCGATCCTTGTGAGACACCCATTTTCATGGGGGACCCTGCGGAATTTACATAATTTATAGATACTTTTTAAATTCTATTATTAAGGTAAGAAGCAATGAGATTGAGGGCGATGTCACGAATGCCATAATAATCAAGCTTTAGAAGGAGGGTTTTGTGATCCACGCAATCGAAAGCTTTTGAAAGGTCGCAAAAAAACACCTATTGCATCTTGCGACCCTTCCCAGGCGTTATAAATATGTTTGACAAGTGCGATACCCGCATCTGTTGTCGATCTGCCTTTAGTGAATCCATATTGCTCATTGTGAAAAATTTTGTTCATATTAAAATGTACTAAGAGCTGATTTAAAATTAGTTTTTCAAAAATTTTACTCAGAGATGGCAATATGGAGATAGGTCTGTAGTTTCCTGGATCATTTTTATCCCCACTTTTGAAGACGGGGATTATCTTACTAAATTTCATAAGATCTGGAAATATTCCAGAATCTATGCAGTTGTTAAAAATATTAGCTAAATGTGGTGCAATATATGGCATTATTGCGGTCATTAATTTTATGGACATGCCCCATAAATCCCCTGTATTCTTAAGATTAATAGAATTCAAAACTTTTATAATATCATAAGTATCTACGTGATTAAATTTAAATGTGTGTGGACAAAAGGTAACATTATTTCTTAGAACGTTAATTGCATCTATGGGAGATGATTTTAATGTACATGTGATAATGTCACATGTACATTAAAATCATCTGAAACTGCAATTTCTGAAAAATAGCTTTCAAAACTACTTGCAATTTCATTATCTGATGTTATGGGAGTATTACCTATAACCAGTTTTATAGGTTCCCTGAATAACTTGGTTCTTCCAGATATACGGGTAATGATGTCCTATGTGGCTTTAATTTTATTGTTTGAATTTATTATTCTATTTCTTATATGAATAGATTTTGCCTGAATACAGACTTTTTTAAATATTTTTGAGAACATTTGTACCCTTTTATGAAAGTTGGGGTCATGATTCCACAGCCTCATATTATATAATTCATACAGTGAATCCCTACTTTTATATATACCCACTGTTGCCCAGTCACTAAATTTTAATTTTAAATTTTTAACAATTGTGCGCGACTTAAATATATCATTTTAAGAAGATATGAGAAAGTCAACCATTGATTTATAAGAATCATCAGGATTATTGACTTCTATATCTTTATTTAACATATGATGTGCCACTTTGTCTTTAAAAGAATTTATTCTATTAGTAGTGACTGGTCTACACTTGATCTTATGTTTGCTTGTAATAACTTTTTCATTTATTGAAAATTTTAAATCAAAGTGGTCAGAGCTCAGATAATTTATAACATATTTATCATATACATTATCGTGGCAGAAAACGTTATCTATACATGTGGAGGATGAGTTAGTGACACGAGTTGGTTCATGAAAAAGATTATTAAGTTTAAATAAACTAAATAAATTTAAAAGTCGTTTACTAAGATGTTTCACTTGTAATAAATCCACATTAAAATCTCCACAAACTACTACTGATTTACTACTTGAACAGAGTTTTTTAAGTACATCATCCATTACACACTCAAACAGATCGAAATCACCTGACGGGGGTCGATACACGCATACTATAATATACTGTTGACTCTCAACGCAGGATAATTCTATAGAACGTTCGACAGAGTGTGCTACTATATCCTGTCGATTTTTACAGACTATATCAGTTCTTACTAACACAAGAGAGCCACCGCGAATAGCATTTGCTCTTACGAACGAACTTAACAATTTATAGTTCTCTATATCTATAATATTAAAATGCTTATGTAACCATGTCTCTGTGAAGCAGATGACATGGATGTTAAATCTTCTAAGAAACAGCTCAATTTCAGGTTCTTTGCCACCTATGTCTTGTATATTTTGGTGTACAATATTTAATTTAAGTGGCTTCGGTGTTGTCTCAATGATTAGTTTAAACTAACATTGTTTTTTGTAAAATTATTGCTAAGTAAAATTTTCTTAGTTGTACAATGTACAACTGGATTTTGTATATTATATGCTACTAAAGTAGCAATTATTTTCTTATAATATAATGGCAAATACCAAGTATTTTTTGTCACCTTAAAACTAGACTTAGTAAAACTATTTATGTCAAAATAAAAGAAAGCGTCACTATGACGGTGAGTTGTATTATATATAGTCATGTTAAGACTATATATGTCTTTATTTTGTTCCTCTGTAAGGAAGGAGGAATATGGAAATGCGCATATTATAAATTTACACTTAGTCTTGTAATGTAAGCCCAGTAATATTTCCATATTATTGATAATTTCCTGTTTCCTAACAGATGAACTATCCCCATGAAGTAGTACAATAGTACTATTTTGATTTACATTCAATGTCAAGATTTTATTTATATTTTTCTGGAAACTGGTACCCGGTGAACATATATTGTATACATTATTTATATGTTTTGAAATTAGCGAACCAATATAGAATGATGGCAGCTTATTCGCTGTCGCTTGAATAGAATACCTACATAATGCGAAAAGAAATGTTCTATTACAATAGCAACACGGATTAGCCTTAAGAACTGACCCCCACACTAGGCTGTTGTCTGTCCTATGGGGGATAAATAATACTATCTACAGTTTGATTTACGGGCTGTAAATAAACATTTAAAAGGGAAAATAGAGAAGCAATAGTGTGTGCTTGTGTGTGTGTGTGTGTTTGTGCTAGTATTCGTACTGCATTTCATACCTTTTCCTTCAGGTCAATGAGTGTACTATGAAAGGTCTCCTTAGGAAACACTCTTTTTGTGCTCTCTTTCTCTAACGCAGCCAGTTTCAGAGTTAATTTCGCGAGTTTCCTCTCCAGCCTCTCTCTAACCACGTGCTCGTCTTTGCTCAGGTGGGGCAGAGATTCTATCGCCCTCCGCCATATGGATATCTGATGACGAAGCTCTGAAATGACAAAAGGTACCTTGAAATGATTGATGTAAAAATACTCGTTTCTTAAATAAATTACAGTTTATCGAGTGAACTTTTTGTAATTTATGCCAATTTGGGTATTACAGCGCAATAGTAATATTTGTAGTATTACTATTGCGTTTCCGTTGGGAGTCAAGTTATCGAGGCTCTTTAAAGGTTGACACCGTATCTGCAACCATACATGTATTTTAGATGCACATCGGTTATAATCACATGAAATCTGGTGATCCAACTGCTCGTTGCGAATTCAATCTTTTAAATAGTTACTCGTTAAATGAGTTGTAAAATGAGCTTGAACAAAAAATTTCAACTAAGGTCACAGGTGTTAACCATTATTAACATCTTGACATACAGACTAGTTTACATTTACGTAATTTATATTTACATACAGTTTATTTACATACACCGATTGGACGTGTGTTCAGCCGTTCAATTATATTTAGTTAATAATGACTCACGAACGTTTTACGTTCTTGAAGTTAGTAATGTTTATGATGCGAGCTAAAATGACGAAAATACCGAAACGAGAACTTCATTGCAAAATGACGCAGACAACATTGACTCAATAGTTTCAACCCATTGGAATAAATTCCAATACTTAATACAATAAAAATATATACAAGGTATACTAAGATTAATATGACTTTATAGTTTTTTTTAATAACTGATGAGCAAGTCTCAACTGTCTTCATTTGTATATATGTACTGCACTTCGAATCAGTTAGTTTACTTTACTCCAAAAAGGTATATTGTCAAAATGAAATTAAAATTAGTAGTAATATCGTCTTTCTATTTAAGGTCCAACGTTGGGGCGTATTAAATTCTTTTTTATTTTTTAGTTAACCAACTTAATCAATTAATTTGAGTATCACCTTACCTGATGGCTACTATCATTACAAAATTGGACGGTGAACGCATTATTACATTAGAAGCCTAACTTCCTGATGGTAACGAATGATGTAGAATTAGAAGTTAAACTTATTATTTCAGTAGAAGCCCATTCATTCCTGCGTGAAATTGCAACATTCCTTACCTTGGATATCCCTTGGCACGTTCAGCCTCAGTTTCCTGGTGTCTCTGTAAATGAAGCGGAGTTGGAAGTAGGTTTGCACGCAGACCAACAGGATCCCGAGGGTCATGTGGACGGTGAAGTTTGTGAAGTTTATTCCCTGCGGAACAGTTCGAACACACAGCTGGAGAATCCAGTTCTTCGTTCATTAACACAAGTTAATTACGAGTCATTACCACAACTTGGTTACGAATTAAAATCGACACACTCCGAGCTACGGACAATCTGCACATATTATTCCTCAAATGTGTTTTTATCTAGATGCCGTGACTTCCATATTTTTTTATCAAGCTTAATGTTTCAAACGCCTCCTTAAAGCTTATGTTTGCCCTATTTACGAAAACTATAGACAATATTTTTTTTTATGTTAGAAGATAGCAAGCAAGCTGACGGTTCACCTGATGATATATGACAGCCGCCGCCCATGGACATTTGCAATCACAGGGTTGCAGATGCGTTGCCATCTTTCAATAAAGTGGGCCCCGGCTGCCTCACTCACCAGACGAAACGCGAAAGTATAATACTTCCCCTTCACGCCAGTATTCTGTGACGTCGTGGTATTTCCCCGGACGTACCTACCCATTCGTGTGACAGCGAAGACTGTTGCGTGGCCCTACGATTTGTTTTAATGTCAACGCTAAGCCAAAACTACTGACACTTGTCAGCTGAAATTTGGAGTAAAGGTTTGTTTTATTATGTAGAGCTTAGAATTTTTGGAAATTTAATCTTTCAGGGGAAGTAGCAGGGGGTATCAGGGGAATCTTTCAGAAGAGCTAGCTCTTACTTCGCGTGAAAGTGTATTTGATAAAATATTGCATAGTATTGAAGTGACGTCGTCTTGTATACTGATGATTTAAAAGAAAATGTTCATTAAATATAGTAAAGCTAAAATAATACTGTGAGATTTTTTTTGAGATAATATTAATCGGTGTCATTCAGGCACATTTCAATAACATCGTGAAAGGAAACAACTAGTTTAGGGTTCATCAGTGATTTAAATATTTGTCTCGGATAGGAGCTCAACCAACGGTCGAAGACGCTAAAAGATTTGCTCATCTCATTTTTTAGCAAACAGGATAACAATAAATAAAGATTTTAGCTTTCATTATCATTAGGGGTTAAAGCCAAGGCGTTCAATACAAGTTCTCAATTCTATTGGGAACCCCGGATTAATGTCTGAACAGTACGTTTACCAATTCATTTACATAGATTCACTTACAGACTGTGTAACGGCTTTATTCGAGGCAATGATGACGTTCGGGGGATCCCCGACGGGAGTTGCCGTCCCACCGATGTTGCTGAACAGCACCATAGACATCAGAATGGGAATCGGATCCAAATTCATCACCTCGCACAATCTGTTGGAGAAAGAATATCATCTAAAATACATCAACATCTAAATACATCTTATATCAAAATCCCAAATCATAAAATATAGTTTTCATATCTATTTATTATAACATCAGAGTAAAGTTGTAATGTGTACTTATTTGATTGATCTATGATGGTAAAGGGACATACTACGTTCACTGGAATAACTCGAAATCAACAATTATTTTATTATAAAAAATTTGGTTTAATAACAAAAACCAATAAAATCAAAACATATAAGGTAATCAAAAGTAAAGTCTAAGTACCTCATCGTTAACAAAACTTTTTTAACTTTTTCAATAAATCTTAAAAATTATTATTATGTTTGTCATAACTGTTAAGCTAATGTTGATTATGCTTTTATTTATTATAAATATTGGGGTCTATTCGTTTCAGTGATGCAGGTTATAATTAGATAAAGAAAACATTAACAACTTCACAGCTATATACAAGCACTTCATTAGCTCGCTCCTCCGCTATGAAAATTAAAAAAATCTTGTAGATCTCCAGCGAATCTGTGACAACTTGAATGTAATAATGTGCTAGTGAAAGCAATTCAGTATGATTCTTACCTGATGGTAACGGGCGTCATCAGCAGTACAGTTGTGACGTTATCGAGGAACGTAGAGAGCAGGCCGGTGATGGCGCAGAGCAGGGATATCAGTGGCCAAAGTTTCCCTCTGGTCACCTTGAACAATAAAATTGGATACAAGATCATATACGACATATGAATAAAAGTCACGTTCATAGCACTCACGTATGATCAGATGAAGGATATTGCGTGGCTCTACCATTTGTCCTTTTTTTTGGTATCGGGGGGGAAATCTTCCAAGGATATAGAATAACCCTTTCACGTTACATGACAGGGTTATGTGAGGTTCTTACCCACTAAAACCCCCTCGGTGGCCACCCTCTGTACGTTTAGAGGGACTCCGGGATCTCCCACGGAACGCACCGGTGTCCCTCAGTACTGCGCGTGAGCACTCCCCGGAGAAGGATAGCTTCCCCGGTTCCCTCACCATCTTGCAGCAGCTCGAGACCACTTCGAGCTGCTGCCAATCCGTGTCCCCTTTTAGTCGCCTTTTACTTCAGGCAGGGAATACATTAGCCCTATTTTATAAGCCCGCGACTACAGGGCTGTCTACCATTGTCTACCATTTGTCCTATCAACGCTTAATCAAAACTACTGAGGCTTTAAAGCTGAAGACCGTACATATTCAAAACGCTCCCATATGGTCGGACGAAACGAATCACGAACAAGTGAAGATCAGCTCAGACCTCTAATTTCCGTGAGAAAGCTTCGTGTACTTGATGTTCATATGCGTCGGTGGTCACTTATCCCATAGTCAATAGCTTGTTTTTCTAATAAAACCGTACAAGCGCGAGTCGGATTCCCGAATGAAGGGTTCCAAATCATTACCTATAATATACTAATTGGTAAGTACGTATAGGTTGCCTATCCACCGCCTCGCGTTTCTTGTATGCGAGCGCCCTTTATTTTATTATTTGTAATAGTATTTGATCTTATAGCGGCAACAGAAGTACATCATCTTTCAAATATTCAACTGTCTAACTATCACGGTTCATGAGATACAACCAGGTGACATACGGACAGACAGACAACGGGGTCGTGATAATAGAACGGGACCCTTTACCCTTTGGGTACGGAACTCTAAAATAGAGCAATACCTCAAACGTGAACACGGCGAGGAAGTCGAAGATCCCGGTCTCGGCCGTGATCGCGACTAGGAGCATCATGCTGAAGAGCAACAGCAGTGTCTCCACGTCCAACCACGAGACCAGCTCGGGCACCGACGGCCTCTCGCCGACCAGCGCCAGCACTGCCAGTGATGAAGACGCCACGATGATAGACGCCATAGTTCTGTTTATCACCTGTGTACAAATCCTTATGAATATTTTATCGTCATCACTTACCCTTGACCCGTTTTTGGATTATCGCTACCTAGTTGCATATGACACGAGCGAATTTTAAGATCTTGAAGACATCGTGTAAGCTTGGAAAAATTTGAATACTGATATCAGCGAGAATTTAAAACGAAAACTTATTCATTAAAACGATTTCTAAAATAACTTTGACTGTGTAATTATGTCTACTTTTGTTTGATATTATTTCTTTCATTTTACAAAACTACCTATAGTTGACTGATGGTACTCACTTTTATAGATGCGTCAATAGGCTGTTGGTAATAGATATATTTGATAGAAGACAGTGAAATAATTTAGGAAACCACCGGTATTTTGCGTGCCATGTTATGGCCCCGATCGTCACACGGTACCAAGATTACATGATGTACGAATAGCTACTCGACGACCCGATAGACGTAGTGGATAGTGGACATGTCTCTTGCGTAAGAGGGTGTGGGTTTGATCTCTATATGTGATATATCTATAACTTGTATTTATTTACAAAATAAAAGTACTTATAGGTATATTTATCAGTTAACTAATATCCATAGTATATATTTTTTTTATTTTGGGACTAGATGGCGTTGTGTACAGATGTGCCCTTAAAATATTTATTATAATTTTTTATCTGCTGAGTGGATGTCCTTTTTGGCATGAACTACGACGTACAATAATCAAAAGGTAAAACTTTGATTGTTTAAAATGAGTGTTGTCCGTTTTGTGTCAAATAAATCTCTTTCTTTCCTTCGTAAATCTGATTTTTTCCATGATTTCATGCTTGTAGACTATCCCGCGACGCAAGGTTATCTTTCCTATCAGAGGAATCAAAGCAAGATAAAGGATTGACCTAAAACAGTTGCGAATCGCATCTGTTACTGGGGACAGCGTGTGCTATCTTGGGCGCACGTGTCTAATACACGCCGTAGGATGTGACAGATAATGAATACACACAAAAGACTAGAAGCGAGGCGGCCAAACAAACATTTCCCTCGGCACTATCATAACGGGAAATTGACATAATTAAACAAGGGCAGCGATAAGGCAAACATTCGACAAACATAATTTTACCCCTCATAAAACGTGTGGTCGTTTAATTAGGTGTCTTATCTTAACGGCAATAGAAGACGTAATCCATATAAATGAGCGAAATTATCGCGATTGTTTCCATAGGGCTGAAATGAATATGTGCAGTGATAATATTTACTCCGAAATTTCTAGTCACGAACCAAAACAACCGTTCTTTCCAAATATACCTCGCAAAACACATCTCCCACAGATTATTTATTACTAACTTTTCGTGAGTAGATATGTGTTTACAATTAAATCACTCAACTTCACACATATAATTTCGAATTAACCAAATATACCATGGTACTGAAAGTTTTTAGAACTAATAATAATAATATTAATAAAAAATAAAATAATACATGTATTGTGACATTTTACACAACGTTATCTAGTTCCGAATAAAGCAAAGCTTATACTATGGGTACTAGGTAACCGAAACATACTTAAACGTACTTTTCTTATGTAAATACATACTATAGATATAGACACCAGAAAAACACTACGTTCATCACACAATGTTTTTCGCATACTGGGGATCGAACCTAAAAAACCTAAACCGAACCCTCTAGGAAGAGACAGGGTCACTATTCATTACGCCAATTGGGCCATCAAAGTTTATTTTGCATAAATACCATAGCAAAGTGGCCGGCTAATCTGAAATCTAATAGCTAAAACGCTGTGCGATGAAGACATCAAAGAAAGCTGTATTATCCCGCGGAGCAAGTTTCGCTCACCTCGAAAATGATCAGCACGTATAGGCCACAGAGCAGTAGGCAGGCGTACGTGACGCCACTGGCCACTTCCACGGGGTCCACAGTGTAGCTGAGAGTGAAAGGGACGGTTTGGTTGCACGTGGTCTGCATGCGGATGATGACAGCTGAAGAGTTCGCGTCGGTGGCGTTAGAGGTCAGCCTTAAGGTTGTGGAGCGTTTCTCCCCTCGGCTGAAGTCGACATCCCCCCACGGTTGGAGAAGAACCGACCACTGTTCTGAGGCCTGTGACACAAGTGACGTCCAATATTATCAACCTTCTCGGTGCGTTTGTGTGCGTATTATTACACTTTTGCCGGCTACTTGTACTGGTGATATGTAATGTTTAACACACAAAGATTTTTTCGTTAAGTTCGATAAGTACATCCCAAGAGTTTGGTCTGCGCTTTGCCTTGTGTCTGTTAACAAAATATAGGCAGGCTTGGGGGGCTGCCCATCGAAGTGAAAATTTAAAAGTTTGGAATAACTGTTCCTTTTTTAATTAATAGTAGTTTGAAAAAAAAAAGTTTAGTTTTTTAGTTCCTATCTAAACCGTGGTACTCGCCTCTGTGCTTTCCACGTCAGATTCGTCTATTCTATCCCCTCCGTAGTCAGATTTCAGCGTCCACCTCTCCAACCACACCGTTATCTTCTCCGCACTCATCAGTTCCGACGAGTTGAAACGTTTCTCCATGTGCTCTGGCAGGAACGGTCCCGACAGTTTCACCAGCACCGCAATCTCGCCACTCGACACGTTCAGGACATAGACTGGCGTAAACAAGAAATATTGTAAACTAGCGACCCGCCCCGGCTTCGCACGGGTGCAATGTATTATACATATAAACAGACAGACAGCGGGATGACTTTGTTTTATACTATGTAGTGATAGTGATGGCTCATCAGCTATTGCTTGCGGGCCAATAAGGTCAGTTGGGTTTGAAAGATTACGCTTTAATGACACGAGAACTTCTTAACAACATTGTTGAAGCATAAACTTTTAACATTTTCAAACGATCTTATCTCCAAGATTGGAATAATAAGTGTACGGTTTTCTTCAAATATTTTGACATATTATCTGTCTTAATGACATGATCAAAACTTAGTCAATTATGTGTTGCTGGATTTGAGGAATTAATCTTCATTATCCTAAATATTAATCGTCGTCATCGCCAGCGTCATTTCGCATCATATTAAAACCTCGAACTTGGGGAATACTAAGTATTATAAATTAAAGACTTTAAAATGTTTACAGATCTCGCAGTTATCTAAAGATAAAGATTAAAGATAGAACATGTAAAGATTTAAGCGATGAAACGAACACTGCGAGGGACAAAATCATTTATTGTATACCTGCCTAAAGCTCAATTCAAATCATCAATAGTTTGTATCAATTTCACATAAACCATAAGTTAATTTCCAATACAATAGCAATTGTACGGGCATATGATATATAACAAATACGGTAAATTCTCTATGATTAACAGTTATAGGTTAGAATGGGACTGATTCATACATTATTTATTACGTAGCACCTGCCATTAAAACAAACAGGTTTTCATTGCACTACAATTGACATAACACCCAAGTTTAATATGCAGGTGTGTAATCAATTATAGAATGATCACGTTCCTAGAGGCATTGAATGAAGCTATTTGACTTGGCCTTGTAAGATCAAATAGTCCTCTTTGGAATATGTAATACACTATAAACTCTCTTGTTTCTAATTAGGTTTATTCGAAGGAAACTTATGCTATATACTTTCAACCAGGCTTATGTACAGCGGACATAAATCCGAAAATTCAATTTTCCCAACATCATCATTTTAGCCCGTTCTAGTCAACTGCTGAGCATAGGCCTCCCCCACACACTGCACGATCCTGAACTACCACCATCCATCGACTTTCCACACATTTCTCAGTTCTAGATAGTAAGATTGCGCAGTGCAATGATTTTCCTAGTTAAGTTAGAATATATGCAATTACCAGAAAGAAGACCCGTAGACCAGGTAGCCGTAATCATCAGCTCGTGAATTGCTTTACAGGCACCTAGTTTTTTTTTTATGTATTTGATCAACTAGGTAAATTATTAAAGTATTACTAAATAATCGTTAAATCATCTTCCCCCGGTTATAACTTCATATCAAAAAATCGTAAGGCAATATTATCGCTGTTATTGTGATGACCTTGAATATTTGGTATGAATCCGCTCTTGCATGAATGGTTTAACTCATCCGAGTAAGTACCATGACCTTAGACTAAGCCAGCGTAAAGTGGAAGTGTTATACTTTTCGTTTCGTCTGGTGAGTGACGTGATCATTGCTCTTCACCCTTTTAAAGGTTGGCAAAGCATCTCCAACCCCACAGATAAGAAGTCCATGGCCTTCTGTAATCACCTAAAAACCTCCAACCCTTACACATTACTTTACCCTCTTAAACAGCTGACATACAACACTACCCACGGACCCACACACGGTTGTGTGTGATATGCCAGATAATAAAATAATGATTATCACTTAAAAATCGTCGTACCTCTTAAATGGCATTAAATTAATTAATGTGCTCATTGGAGTCTTAACCAGTAATTAAGGCTCACTCACTTTTAATTTCCCCGGGAGCAACGAATGTATTTCTTTTTATGTCTTCCTTTTCGTTGTACATCATGAAAACTACGGTGAAGAATATCCAGCAGGCAATAAGAAGGGACATTTTCACATAGTGCTTCGCCCTGGCCATCTAGAAGCAAGGAAATCAATTTAATATTGTTTTCACACCACAGTTAGTAGCGCTACGCAACAGTCTTCTCTGTTACGCGAATGGGCATGTTCGTCGTACCTAGAACTAACAGAAGACACACGTGAATTGAAAATGTTCTACTTCTGCGTTTTGTCTGATAAGCGAGGTGACTAGGGCTCAGTTCATTACAAGTTGGCAACGCATTTGCAAACCCTACAGGTATAGCAGATGTGCATGGGTGACGGTTATCACTTAACATCAGGTGAACTGTCAGCTCGTTTGCCACGTTTTCACATAAAGAAAAGCCTAGGCCACACATCGAATGTGAGTAACGTAAGAAGCTTCGATTTATGGATTCAGCATCTAGAACTTTCTTATCAGGCTAGAAATACATTCTGTGTGCTGGATATAAATCGCAAGAAACGTACAATAAATGATTTGCCAAACTGTTTTATGATTGTGAAATGAAACTATAATGCATGAATCTCATTCGATAGTAAAACATGAATTAAATATCAGAAACTTTTATACACATTGCATTACGGTAAGTTCTATATTGCGTTCCGTTGTCAATAGTGTTAATAAATGGGAACTGGTGAAGAGGATTATTTCAGGACCAAGTAAAAAGATATTTTGTTACATCTGCCTACTCAAATGGCAGTAATAAGTAAACATTTAGCAGTGTTTACATGTAAATGTAATGTCTATTGTTACAATGACTGAATATTTGTTCGTTACAACACACCTTTGTTTCCTTTTTCTGTGTCGACCCGTGCTCATGTCTGAAAATATGGAGGAAAAATCAGTGTTTCCTTCTCGTAAAAGTTACATAAAGATTGTCTAGTTCCAGCTGGTTTGTCCAGATATCCAGTCATCATCATCATCATTTCAGCCTGTTGAAGTCTGCTGCTGAACATATTGCACAGACTGCCATGAAGCACGACCCTGGTCTACATGAATCCATCGACTTGCCGCGCATTTGCAGTACAGCCATTATAACTATTTAAGCCGTTTTAAACAAGATCTGAAGTACTTGCAACTATTTACATTGTTAAAAATACTCAATGGATTTTTTCGCTTAATCTTTTTTTAATAACTAGTTAACAGTTTTATTAGGACTTTAAATATCCCGGCATGTCCCATGACCAATTAAAATCAATATCGGACATGAAAATATACATAAATGAGTTTTATTTGATGTTCTATACTAGTAGTCACATTAACAAAAAATAGTTCCGCTCACCCGTCACCATTTTTCTCGTGGTTGTCATCTTTTTTTTCGGGATCCTTAAAATTGACGGTGACTTCGTTGGCGCTGGTCTTGACATGGTTGTTGTTGAGGTGTGGGGCGGATTTCACGAGCGGCAGCCTTTTAGTCTCCGGGGCGGATCCGTTCGAGGTTAACAGTATGTTCTCGATGTTGCCTGATGAAAAATAAAATTGTTATCCTCGATGCCTACATAAATGAGTAATATTTAAGGGTAATAAATATAAGAATTTTTGTTCTATCTTAAACTGTCTACATTGACGTGGGTTCGATTGCCACAGCGGCGACAATCTTTTCGTACATTTTCTAAAAATTTTTATGTTTAATCTTAAGTACACTATAAAAAAATTTGCATTTTTAAACTATCCAATTTTTTTGGTCCCACAAAATCCACAGTTCTTTGTTACGTTATAGGTACATCTTATGATCTAAAATTGTAGCCAAATACGGATTTACATTAGTAATATTTTAACGGACATATTGAAGATAAGGGTGGTAGAGCCACGCAGCACCCTCGGCTGTTGCACGAATGGGCAGGCTCGTCCGGGTAAGTACCACGACCTCACAGAAGACCGGCGTAAAGTGGAAGTATGACAAATACTTTCGCGTTTCGTCTGGTGAGTGAGGTAGCCGGAGCCCAATTTCCAAAAAGGTTGTCAACGCATCTGCAAACCCTCGGGTGTAGCAGATGTCTATGGGCGGCGGTATTCACTTAACATCAGGTGGACCGTCTGCTCGTTTGGCAACTTTTTCACAAAAAAAAAAAAAAAACAAAAAGATAAAGTAGTTGAGACTAATATTTTTATTCTGTATGCCATCTTAATTTACCCCCGTGATGTTATTAGTATTAGTCTTAGGTGGTAAACGCTTATGAAAGCTATTTTGATTTCGTCTTAAGGCGCTAAATTTATAATCAGGAAGAAAGACAGACCACTTCCCATGTACGCATTAAGAGCTACGGTCAACAACACCGAAGATTAAGAACTATAAAGCAAAGTGACTATTGGAAATCGGGGAAAGTCGACAGCAATAATACTAATAAAAATACCAATTAAAAATCTAAATATGGATGTCCAAGAAACACACATAGGTCATGTATATTCAAAAGTAAAAGCAAAAAATAAAAGGCTTTGTAACAATTCAGATGATTCTCCATTGTTTTATTAGAAATGTTTAATGAGAATTAGAAATGTTAAATTATCATTAAATTAGATACTCACTTCAAAAATAATCATAAAAATCTCTTATAAGATCCTTAAAAGTTACTTATAATGTCCTTAAAAGTTAAGAATAATAACGTAATCTATTACGTACATATTTATTTAATCGTTTTAAATTATAGGTACATAATAAATATGAATTGACGTTATGTGCACGTAAATAAATATGAATTGCGTCAATAGCAACACTAATTACGCTATTACGAGATGAGGTATACGTACGTACAGGGGCAACCAAAGTTTAAATACCAACTCCAATGGAGTTGTCATCATCAATACTCTAATACCTCTTGAGGACAAAAATATATTCTTATAGAGTAGTGGGAAGTAGTACAAATAAACGTTAAGCGAGCAGACGGTTCAACTAATGTATTTATAAAGACCTACAACAAGCGCAGACGCGTTGCCAGCCCTTAAGATAGGTGCCGGTAGGTACTGCCAGTCACGCCGGTCTTCTGTGAGATCGTGGTACGTCTCCAGACAAGCCTTCGCATTTGTACAACAGCAAAAGCTGCTGCGTGGCCCTATCATAATAGAAGTGTGCATAATGAAACAATAGCGTTCTTTTTAAAATACAACTCCTTCAAAAACATAGAAAATTTAAAAGAACTTATCTCTGATTCAGCAAAATAAATGTAGCACTGGGATTTACACTATTTCGGTGTCTTTTGCAAAAGCAAATAAATTTCTGCCTGTCTGTCTGTTACCTATTGTACACCTGTCACGTAGTAAGACAGTTGAAATTTTCACAGATGATGTATTTCTATAGCTGCTATAACAACAAATACTAAAAAAAGGATAAAAAAGTATTTAAGTAGGGCTACCATAAAACAAACATGATTTTTTTGCCGTTTATATTTTATTCCTGACCTTTCGAACACTTTACAGCGTTTATGTTCGCGAGACAAACTATTTATCTTTTTTAATGTGAGAAGGCGGCAAGCGAGCCGGCGATTCACCGGATGTTAAGTGATAACCGCCGCCCATCGACATTGGCAACACATGTAGGGTTGCAGGTGCGTCGCCACCTTTAATTAAAGTGGCCCCCGGTCACCACAGTCGGCGTTCCTCCCGGACGGACCTGCCCATTCGTGCAACAGTCTGACAGTTGCGTGGCCCTACCCCAGTAATATCTCACACCTTACGCGTTCTATCATGTTTAATATGATAGAACACGACGGATTCCTTAAAGTAGTATTATTGCATTCACGGCGGTTGTAAGCCGGTGACCACTAGTAAACAAAGCTTCGACTTAATCGGTTCGACGATGTGTGAACACGCAGAGGATGGACAATTATCTTTTACGTCTTGCACACGCAACCACTTGATGCACGTTGATGGTAATACGTCAAACTTGCGCGAGCGTCATCAATAACTGTTGCAAAGCTTCAACTTAATTGGATGTACGACGGATGTAAGATGGAGACGGACATACAAACATATTCCGTACATACCATGCGAGCTGATATATGTTTTAACATCTCTCTTGGATGGCAATACATGTAGGTCACCACTAAAATACCTCACAAACATATATGTAAGTTATCAAATTCAGAAGCACGATATACTTTAAATATTCTATGTTGGTGTACAATGATCATTATTAATTATGTATGTCGGTCTTCTGTGAATCGTGGTAGCCGAAGGCTGCTGCGTGGACCAAGTACAGTAATGATGTGAAATAAATCCATTATGTATTACACTTAAATGGTTAGATTTAACTGAGGCCTATGACTGAACACAAACTTTCGGTGGTGACTACATAGAGTCGGTAATCACAGAAACCATTAAAAGCCTATCATCATTATGGAAACTTCACGAAACTCAAAAAGTGCCTAATAAATAATTAGACATACGATCACATAAATAAACGCACTAAAATTATACAGTACATTAGCATAATGATCGTTATGTATTAAGGGAAGAATCGTGAATGCACAAGGAATTGTTGTAAATTACGACCGAAATAAACTACTCTCTAGCTGTTATCCGCGGCTTCTGCGTTACTAATTAATTATGTATTTTATGTGCAAAGGAAAAATCATTGACCACGTAGTACTTATAAAAAATCATTGTTTCTTAATTTGCATTAAATGAAGATAGCATAACATTTTTAAATAAGGTCAAATTTTCTAAAAATAAAACTTAAAAGCATTAATTTAAATGTAAAAGATTTTCCGTTTAGTACAACGGCAGACCTCTGTCATTTAATTTATAAATAAAAATTTAAATCACACAGTCGACTTACATTTTATTTCTGTGTGTCATTTACGCAAAAAACTATTTTTGTATCAAAGCAGATCGATATTACGGTGAAGAATTTATACTGATGAGAGAATTGGAGGCCCATCATCTGATACGTCAATAACGAACTTTGACATTACAGACGTTCGTAGATGGCGATAATAAAGTAAAATCAGGTGAGCAACTTGCCTGTTCTCTATCTACTTAACCCAAGAGCTCTGTGATAAACTATTCATATTGTGATAACCCAGTGTTAGATTGCTTAGTACAAGATGGTCAGTCTAATTTTTTTTAAACATCGCCCTTAGTTCAGGATAACATTATACTGTGTTAAGGACGTTTTACATACATAGGTTTCACGTCGACAAACACCCAGATCCGACACAATAATAATTATCAGTGGGTCATACAAATAGTTGCCCCATGTGGAAATCAAACGCACGACCCCCGCCGTCAAATCCAATATACCTTGGCAACTGCGCCCAGGAGCCATTAATAACCAAAAAAAATATTGTTCGGTAGCAGGCCACATTTCATATATCGAAATTGATCGTAAATTTCCCCTTGCATTTTTTTGATTACGCATTTATTTTTTTCGACCCTTTCATTTAAAAAAGCCAGTCTCATAATGATCGAAGAAAGACAAATGATTAAACCCCATTTGTTGCGTTTAGGACGAAGTAAACCGTTTACTTCCCGGCAGCTCAATGTCATTTAAGACTGCGTAGTAATTTAGATGTATAAAAACTTCACGGATCGATTTAACTGATAATTATTTGACGGCCTTGTCACCGCATTTGAGTAGTACTGAGTAATAGGGTACACAATTTTCCATTGATCGATAATTTAATTAATTGCTCGGTAAGAACAATCATCGTATAAACTTATCACAGGATTGGATATGGAACAATAAGTTATCATAATAATAAGTTATTATTATTATGATAACTTATTGTTCATCATCATCTTCATCATAATAAGTTATCATAGGATTAGATATATTCAATAGTAAATTAGTCGTATAATTGTCCTATACCGTACAATATTTTTTCCGGGCGGTAATCAAACCCACGACCCGCAGAGCCGTCACCGTTTAGCAGTTTTTGCCTTCTCCGTTTGCTATTTTCACCATCATTATTCATTATCTGACGAAAAACTGGCCTCGTACTGGCCATTGCAGTGTAGGACGACCCCCCACTAGATGGAGTGACGACCTGTGAAAATGTGCGGGAAGTCGATGGATGCAGGTGGCTCAGGATCGTGCTTCATGGCAGTCTGTGGGGGAGGCCTATGTTCAGCAGTGGACTCAAACAGGCTGAAATGATGATGATGATGACGAAAAACGTCCACCGCTGAACCCATAACCTTCCCTGTACCATTAAACAATTCTTGGTAAACGAACCAACACACATCAACAAACATCTGTCTTGTACATAATATATACCCCAAAAAACATTAAGCGAAATAACAGAAAAACCCAACAGTCTGTCACGAGTGGGCAGGTCCGTCCGGGGGAGTATCATGACCTCACAGAAGAACGGCATGAAGTGGAATCGTTACCCTTTTGGCGAGCGAGGTAAACGGAGCCCACTATTAAAAGGTGGCAACGCGTCTGCAACTCTACGAGTGTTGCACACGTCCATGGGCTGCGGTTATCACTTAACATCAGGTGAATCGCTGGCCGCCCGTTTGGAACCGTCTCACATTAAAAATACATTATGGAATACGCAATTTCCGAACGCTTTTGCAGAGAAATCACAGCACGGGTTTATCGCCTCGTATTCTTTTACAAGCGCTTTGAGGCCGTAAGGGAGATCTTATGGGAAGTTGCACAATCTTCGCGACAACATGATACTCTAACAGATATAAATGAATAAGGTATGCTTTTAAATAACTTCACTTTTATCTACTATGTGTTTGATATATTTAAGAGCGAGAACTCTTTACTAAATCCTAAGAGATTCACAATTCGGTTGGGTAAAACGGGACCCTATTACTAAAACTCCACTGTCTCCCTGTCTGTCTGTCTTTCCGGAATATAAGTATAATGTTATCCTACAGAGTAAGGGCAAATATCTCGTTTTGTATTCATTTATAATTGATTTTCAGGAGTTCCCCAAGTATCTCTGGAGCCCAAGATCCAATACCAATGAAATCAATATGGGACCACATGGGAAGCACCGGCTTTCAAATAAATAAAGAATCATCAAAATCGATTCAGTCAGTCAAAAGTTATGAGGTAACAAACATAAAATATAAAAAAAAATACAGTCGAATTGAGAACCTCCTCTTCTTTTGAAGTCGGTTGAAAAGAAGAGAAAAGAAGATAACCAAGAGAATATCATTAGCGAACGTCAATCAATCACGGTGAAGTAGTAGTGCGTGCTAGAAATTTTGCTGGTATATCAAAGGCCTGTTCGCAACGTTTACCATTTGTATCGCTCTATCATTGACAAATATTTGGCTAAGCACCTACACACGTCGCCGGAGTTCGAACTGCGTAGTTTCCGCAATTGTAATTTAGGAGTGTGACATTTGGAATGGTAAACGGATGATTAAACACGAGCCGCCAAATACGTGGAAATGTGTAGGCTGTCTGTCGCTTTTTTCTAAAATTCCATACAAGAGTAGCCTCGGGAATCTGTCTACTTTAAGGTAGCCTAGTCACATTCGAAGGCTGAGCTAAGTTAAGCTAAATAGGGTATATACTCTCTAATGCAAGCTCCGAGGCATTCACCGGAACTGTTATTATTATTTCTATTAAAAAAAATGGCAAGCGAGCCAGCTCGCTTGCCATTTTTTTTGGTTCACCTGATGTTAAGTGGTAACCGCCGCCTACGGACATTTGCAACACCCATACGGTTACGTTGCCTCCTATTCATAAGGTGGGCCCCGGCTACCTCACTTACCAGAAACGCAGAAGAGTCACTCTTCCATCTCACTCCATTCTTTTGTGAGATCGTTATAATCCCCCGGAAGGACTTGTCCATTCGTGCAACATCCAAGACTGTAGCGTGGCCCTACCACCTTCTTAAATGATGATAGAATTTATAAAATCGACACCTGTTGGAATGGTGTATCACGGTAGTACTTGAAAGCATAAAATTTTATGTGTTAATATTCTCTAACGGTAGACAAAGTCGACGTAGTACATGCATTAGAATATCGAAAGCTTTCATCACCCCATAAAGAAGAGCCCATTCGGCTACTAAGTTGTTTCACGTAGGTTTTTATAGAAAATCATACTCTCCCTTGATAATATAAGTATGCATATTTTTATCATCGAGCCATTAATATGAAGGCATTACGCAAAGGTTTCGATCAGAAATAACATGGGCGGATCTCTAAAGGAAACAATGGATGTTTTTGATGGAATTTTCCTCGAGGTAATTCGTAAGGCCATGTCCACCATATAAGGTAGAAGGGCAAACCGGGTTATTTGATAAAAAAAATTGTCTGTCCCGTGACCGTGAACGCTGTAAAGGGTTCGAGGCGTCGGGAATTAAAATTAAAAATAAACGCGATGAATCCGTTTCCGATGAGCCACTGTTAGCCTTAGCTCGAGGGCTCCCGGGGAGCCTCGGCTCGGGCCGTCACGCTATTATTATTACCGGTTTGGGAGGCCGCCAAGCTCTTAGGGCGCTTTGGCGGGCGCTCCATGGAGTGATCAGGCTCAAGGGTCCCCGAGAGGGGACCTCGGCTTGGGCTGTCACTCAGCACGCGTTTAGCGTTCCGATTCGAGGGTGCCCGAGAGGGCCGGACCTCGGCTCGATCGGTAGCTATTATCTGACTGGGATGCGGCCTCACAGAAGATTAAGTATTTATACTTTTGGGTTTTTTCCGGTGAGTTATGTGACAGGTAGACAAACAACCACATTGATATGGATGTCCACGGGCGGATTTAATGACTTACTACAAGATGAGCCAGAGTTTGGTTATCACCATTGAAAACATGGGAGATTTTTTCTACAAATTTTAATGGGAAACTGCTGTCTAATCTGCAGATTTACCCTGACGCCATTTAATCGACCTCGTAGAGGACCGGCGTGAGGTGGAAGCATTATGCTTTTGCGTTTCGTCTGCTGAGTGAGGTGGCCGGGGCACACTTCATTGAAAGGTGACAACGCCTTTGCAACCCCACGGATTTTGCAAATGTCCACGTGTGGCAATTATCACTTACCATCAGGTAAACTGCCAGCTCGCCATGTTATCACAAAAAAAAGGAACATTTGAAAATATTCAAAAGTAGCTGTGTCCGCGACTCTGTCCGCGTGGAATCTAAAATAGCCTTACTCCCTATTACATCAGCTATCTGCCAGTGAAGGCCCTGTCAACATCGTTCCAGCCGTTTCAGATATTAGACGGACAGACAGAAAATTGAAAAAAAATGTTATTTTGGTATACGTACCTATGGATGTACCATATGCATTTAGTAAAAAGCGGTTATTTTAATACTACAAACAGATACTCTAATTTTATTTATTTGTTCAGAAGATGTATAGATAGGAGAAACTCAATCCAAATGGATCTGATACGACAAAACGCGCAGCGGGTGCATTCGCGCCGCAGTCGCGCATAACCGGATCGAACCGGTTTAAAATAACTACGCGGCTTGGACCGGTGTCAGAAGCGCTGAGATATATAAAGTGCACGGCAGGATTCGATTCCATCTATAGCTTATTCGAGATAGACTACGTAGTGAGGGATGAGGAAAATTAATACTCATGTCATATCTCAAACGGAATTCGCAAAGAAAGAAGAAGAAATTCGAAACACGCATTATCTCTCGGAGCCCCGCTTCCAAAGAGAATACAGTTGAAAAGAGAAGAATATAGTCAAGAGGTGCACAAGTTTAGTAATATTTCAGTTTCTTATGACAGCCAGTTGTTAAACCATCTGTACATAAACGATATCTATTAATTCTCCTTTCTTATTCTTCAACGTCTCTAGTAGTGAAGACGAAAACCGTATATAATTAATATTGAATATTATAGTTAACGACACGAATCTGGAAAACTTTAATTTTATCACAATAAAACTTAATCACAATTTGGAATTTCACCGCATAATTTCACCGACAGCAGTGCCAAGAACTAATTTGGATCAGCTCATATACAGAAAAAGAAAATCGAGTACAAAGAAGCTTCGATAGCCATTCGACTAAAGGCCCGATATATACGAGTATTTTTACAATGGTCATAGGGAAACACCTTTTAACCTAATTAACTTTACGCTAAGCTTTATCGAATAGGAAAGGATCGAATTTGGAACCAGCGATGGATGGAGATTGAGGTTCTCTAATAAAACTAATACTATCATCCAATGGAGGAATATCTGATAGTACGGTAAGTATAAGTGGGCCCCATACTAGCGTCAGTATAGTCTCTGATAAGAAATACTAAACATCGTGGCAACAATAGTGTGCACCGGCCCTAAGGAATTCAAATTAAAAATGTAATCCGCATAAAAAGATGCAACCTTGACACTGTTCCAACTATACGTAGATGAGCGATCGCTTCGGTGAATATTGCGTCTTAATGGACCATTAAAAACGGATGACAACTTTAGATAAAATTTATACGACGCCTTTTGTTTGTTTCACTGTCAGCAGATGCGTTGGAGGCTAACGCGCGTCTCGTGTATTCATCTCGCGATTTCTAACAGTCTGGCGACGGACCATATGCTAATTACGATGGCGTGGTTGCTACGCTTTTGAAATCGGAGTGATGCCTCGTGGATTGAAGTCAATCATCAATCAAGTAATTTTATAAATAAACTAGCGACCCGCCCCGGCTTCGCGCGGGTGCAATGCTGAATGTTTGTTTCCGACATCGCATTAGAAACCTCTAAAATTATGAGTGTTTCTCTACTATATTATGCATGGATGCCAATAAACCTTCCTCTCGAGGCATTATCTATTAAAGAAAACCGGATCAAATCTGTTGCGTAGTTTTAAAGATCTAAGCATATATAGGGCCAGAGAGACAGCGGGACGACTTTGTTTTATACTATGCAGTGAAGTGATGTATTCGTAAGAGATATCTTTGAAAGCGACTAATTTTAACCTTATCTTGGTAGGCAAAGGTAACCTCGTTTCACGCTGCTACTTTTTTCCCGTGACGTATTTGTCGCATTGAAGAAATCTACAAACCTTAGGACAATTACTGTTTAGTACTAGTTCAAATAGAGATTAACATTAACAAGATGTGTTTAATGTTAGATTATATCCATTTTATATTTTTCACGGTAGTAGAGCCACGCAGCTGCCTCGGCTGTTGCACGAATGGGCAGGCTCGTCCGGGTAAGTACCACGACCTCACAGAAGACCGGCGTAAAGTGAAAGTATAATACTTTCGCGTTTCGTCTGGTGAGTGAGGTGGCCAGAACCCAATTTTCAAAAGGTTGTCAACGCATCTGGAACCCTCGGGCGTAACAGATGTCCATGGGCGGCGGTATTCACTTAACATTACGTGAACCGTCTGCTCGCTTGGCAACATTTCACATAAAAAAAATATCCACTCACCGAACTCCTTTTCGTAACGTTGTCTGAACGGCGCCAACTCAGGGTCGTACTTGATCTTCTTCGGCAGCCCCAGCCAGACCTGGATGGCCTCTGCCGTCAGCTCACCGCAGGATACCAGGGAGTACTGGCTGCGGCTCAGCTCAGGAGTGGACGGCCTAGACACGCCGGTCCACTTTTTTACGTTCTTCACAAATCTCGACATCTTACACTACACTAATGTCATAACTCTAAAATTTTAAGCTGAACCACTGTAATTTGGCTGCCCGAAATTTATCTTGCGTCGCTAGTCTGTCAAAATGATGTTTAGATTTTTTCTACCATCAAAGATTAAGTACCTTGGAGCCTATATTGAACGATACATATTAATGACTCTAAAGAAGAATTTTATTCAGAATGTGCAAAATTTTTCTCTTAAGAGACATTATTCTTTCATGTTATTTATTTGTATCTGTAACGGCTTCTACTTCTTGCTGTCTCCTCCGGCTTCTGCATATATTTGATAAAATTATATTTCTATGTACAATAGAGTAAAGCCCTCTAGTGTGTTTTACGAAGACCTTTTGCAAAAATTTCTTACGTGGAAAAGTGTTAAAGACGTCGCTGTCTGTATGTAACCTTTAAATCTGGTGAAACGCGAATGTGCTTTTATTTTCCAGTTTATTCTAAAGGACATGTAGTGAGACATGTAACGCATAGTTACATATTTAGAATATATATTTTAGTACCCACGTAGTACAAAACAAAGTCGCAGAACCAATGACCTATACCTCGATTATTGGTGAGAGTATTGGCTCGAGTGCTCCCGAGGGAGCCTCGGCTCGGGCCGTCACTCTATTATTAATCGGTTTGAGGGGCCACCAAGCTTTTAATTCGCTTTGGCGGACTTTGCAAGGAGTAACTAGGCTCAAGAGCCCCCGAGAGGAGACCTCGGCTTGAGCTGTTACACAGTAATTGCTGACAAAGAACACTGTTGCTGTTTATAATATACTAGCTTTTAGCCCGCGACTTCACTCGCGTTGAAGCCCTTCAATAAATATCTATCCCCTTTAAGAACATGATTATAACCCTTTTTCCAATTAAAAGCCTATGTCCTTTCTCAGGCTCTAGACTATCTGTGTACCAAATTTCATTTAAATCGGTTCAGTAGTTTTGGCGTGAAAGCGAGGCAGATAAACAGAGTTACTTTCGCATTTTATAATATTAGTATGAATTAACAGTTGGCTCGTAAGCAGGATGTTAAACGATAAACGCCGCTAACTGAATTACATTACTTGACGGCATACAGATGTGTCGTCAACATTGAAAAAGTGGGCCAAAGTTGGAGAAACTTCTAGAACTAGTAATTACTCGTAAATTAACGCAACATTTTTCCTAATAAAGCCGGTTTTGACACAATCTCTCTTATAATTTCAAGGTTACATCTCGGCACTAAGTTCAAGGTACAAAGATATTAATTTTATGAGAGTAAACTTGAGCGGTACACTAGTTTTCTGATGGAAATTTTGTTTTTTTACGATTTTTATCAAAGTATAAAAATAACAAAATTTACTATCCTCTTATGAAATTAGGTAGTCAGTAGTTGACAGATATCTACTAGTTATAAAACTAATGATGCGTGCACAGTTGGTTGGAACATTATCTCAATCTGCCTTTACCTTGAAGTAGTTTTTGTAAAACTTCATTAGCCATAAAGCGTTAATTTAGTAAAGAAATGTATCGCCGATATTAGATCTTGTTGAAACCTTCAGAGACGAAATATAAAAACGTTATTCGTGATAATTGATTACTGTTTCAATGATATATTAAATTGTAACTACTTCTGGTATCATAAAAAGAATAGATTCCGTTGTTTAAGTTTTAGATAAAAGTAACAGCCTATACATGTCCCACTGCTGGGCAAAGGCCTCCTCTATACAGAGGGTATCAGGGCATAGTCAACCACGCGGCCCCACTGCGGATTGGCGGACTTCACATAATATCTTTCGTCGAATATTTTTTTTTGTTATTATTTCGATAATATGCAGGTTTCCTCACGATGTTTTCCTTCACCGCAGAGCACATGATAAGTCAGCACTTCTAAAACCTAAAAACTTCATTGGTGCCGGCACCGGGGATCAAACTCAGGTTGCTCGAGTATATTGAATTAAAGGCGAGCGGCCGGACACCGAGCTATCACGGCTTTTAGATAGATGCACTTATTATAAGTATATTTAGTATATTATACCTATTAGATACTCTATTATTCCGTAACTAGTATATTATCAGTTTAATTGTAATTGGCGAATGTAGTAAAAGGAAGCATCCTACTATAAAAGTAACAGCCTATACATGTCCCACTGCTGGGCAAAGGCCTCCTCTATACAGAAGGTATCAGGGCATAGTCAACCACGCGGCCCCACTGCGGATTGGCGGACTTCACATAATATCTTTCGTCGAAATATTTTTTTGTCATTATTTCGAAAATATCTAGGTTTCCTCACGATGTTTTCCTTCACCGCAGAGCACATGATAAGTCAGCACTTCTAAAACCTAAAAACTTCATTGGTGCCGGCACCGGGGATCGAACTCAGATTGCTCGAGTATATTGAATTAAAGGCGAGCGCCCGGACACTGAGCTATCACGGCTCCATACAACATTAATTAAATCGAATTCAAAATTTCTTTATCCAATATAGAGTTATTTAAAACTCTTATTGAAAGAACTACCACCGGTTCACTAAACTAGACCTGTCCAGAGAAGAATCAGCAAGGAACTATGCGGTCTTGTTTTCTTTTTTAATTATATAAGTATACAAAATTATTTCAGTTTAAAAATCAGCAGCAGCCAGGGGACTGGCAAATGCAAAGCAAGAGTCATTTCCACTAATCATTGTCCTCAATTTATTCTTCGACGTTATTCCCTTTAAATTTTTTTTTAATTTAGAACTAGCCAGCACTTGACTGCCATCTCACCTGATGGTAAGTGAGAATGGTTAAGGGAGCTTTTACAAAATGTTTGAAATTGTTTACACTTGTTATTTTTGGATGTTTGACAGATTAAAATGATACTTTGGATAGAGATAGTTACTTAAACATCACTGATGATATTCGAAAAATCGAAATCATAACGCGAGCGAATCATATAATACGATACTACCTGGAGAACCTTTTTTTGGTAAATCGTGTATTTTGGAAATAAAAAATAAAGAAAGAAATGATCTGGAATAGCAACGCAGCCTTCTGTTTCGGGGCCGCCCGATTACCGACCGAGCTATTACTTATAACATTTTTTTGCATCATATTCTAATGATATTTTTCATTCCCTGAAAACAGGGATAAATAAAATTTTCTAAAAATAGCTGCCAGATCGATTTTTCGCCCCCGAATCTACGCACATACTAAATTTCGTGAAAATTGCTGGAGCCGTTTCCGACATTCCTATTATACCATTACGCACTTTATTGATTCAAAATCAAAATCAGAATCAAAAATATATTTATTCAAATAGACGCTTGCGCGCTCCTATGAATCGTCAAATTTTACATCAAAGATTATTTGTATGTATATAGGTTCGTAAGGTACCACCGGTTAGGAAAGCAGTTTCTGTTGAGAAGAGACCGGCTAGAAACTCAACAGTTGCTCTTTTTCAAAAATATCAGGGTACGATTCAATTGTCAACGTTTTAAGTGAATATTACTGATGGATATAATCAGTCTAACACACTTAACACTGTTTTGGTCACAGAGGACCGCACACAGTTCAAAAACGTAAAGTGCGTATTTAAATGCAGTTTACCCAAGTGCAAGAATTCATTAACCTTAAGATTTTCCAGTGCCCTTCAAAGAACTGGAGTTAGCTCAGCTTGTTTCCTCAAATGTCGGGCTATTTACTCGAACATTATTTAACACAATTTAGATATTACCACTTATGGCCACATTGAGAGACGGTAATTAGCACTAACGTGATTTTTCTTCGTTTTAGAAGTTTGGTAACAAATGCGTACTATTTTTTTTTTCATTCATTGAAACGTCAAAATAAAAAGTATATAAAATAATATCCTGTTCAATAGCAATGTGAATAATTATTAAGTCAATCTATTGCCTAGTTTTTGAGTTTTGTAGACACAAACATACGGAAGATAAGGTTTTATATAATAAAGATTGTATGATTTTATGAAAAGACAGTCGGCTATACAGTGTGTCTTTACCATCGCGACAATAAATGAACAAGCATATAGGGGATAACTTTTTAAAGTTGTATGAAACATTTAAATTCTTTAAACATTTACAGAGTTATAAAATTTTCCAAATCAAAGAATTTTAGAACACCCTTACCTATAAAAGCGTAACGTAAAGTTCATTTGTAAAGGTCACAAAGCATATGAATGGGTTGAATGAATTTAAAAGAGACAAAACATACTGTTAGAAGGAAAGGCTTGTAATACGACGCTGTGACGCGAGTTGTATAGGATAATACAAATTTTGTTTCTTTTTACTTAATTAGTTTGTTTGAAAAATATTTTTTTTAATCATGGATTTTGTTTAACGTTAATATTTTTTTATGATTATTGGCAAGTAGCGTTAGACGTGTGTTCATTTATTGTCGCGATGGTAACGACACTCTGTATATGAATGAGGGTTGAAACCCTTCTAAGAACCCCACGAACTTATACCCCACCCACGAATATATATGAGGGTTGAAACCCTTCTAAGGAATACAAATTATATTTAATGGCATAATTAGTCTGGATTTGCCCCTGTGTCGCAAGGGTACAAACATGAAATCCAGACTGTACTTTGTGTACACCCAGGAGAGCCTCAGTCCTTTTGCATTTGGACTGATTGAGAGTTGCACCGTTTTTTTTATTCCTTGCAGGGTCGAAATCAGGTATTGGCAGTTGGCAATTCGTGCAGTCAAGTATAAAATAACAATCGTAGCCCATGGATGATAAAAAAATAATAAACAGAAGTATATTACAACCATGATTGATTTGGAATTCGCTTATCTTTTTCTATTTATTCTGTCACAATAACAAATCAAAGTAGTTAGGTGTAAGCAAGACCTTAAAGCAAACGTTAAAGACCGCAAAGCAAGACGTTAAATTATACACCACAATGGACAAGAGAGATACAAAAGACAAAAGATATAGAGAGAGAAAATCTAACTTTTAACGGATTATGTTTCCGTAGACTATATGAAGCTTCAAGAATGATGAAAACTATA